GAATAATGCTTTAAAAAAATATTATCATCACGGAAGACGCTATTCCGAGCTTTTAGAATATCCGTCGCGAACACTATCTTTAGGAAGTGCCAACGAATTCATTAAATACATTATTCTTTCTTCTGAAATTTCTGTTGGCCTGATGCTGTCGCCATTATTTATTTTCATTCTGCGAAGATTGCGCAAGTTTAAGACTTTCCGTATGGATTCAGTGAGTTGCTCCTCAGCGAGTAACTTTGCATCCTTATCGAGGAGGCAAACTTAATAAACGTTATCGAAAAAACAAAGAAATATTGGATTCTGTTTTGAACCTAGTATTCATTACAGGAACAAAGAACCCGTTACCCGAATTGCCCTGCTCGCAACGGGTAGTTTCGTAGCTCAGCTGGTAATGGTGCTCAGCAAGCAGCTGGAAGGTACGAACTCATTAGAAGACTGAACGTTTCAGAGGCTTCTTCTCTGCAATTGCTTAAATTTGAGTTGAACCTGCATGGATCATTTCTACACTTGAATGTCAGTCATCCCTTTGATTGAAAAGCGCTTCAGTTGCTGTGACGCCTCAATAGACAAAGCTAAACAAAAGCGTAAAGAATAACTCCCTTGGAGCTTACTTGTTTGGTAATCAATATGTATGCTTTAAAAGAAAAACTGTAATTGGAGAGCCGAGTTTCAGTGGTTTACGACCTTTAGTCTCTACTACAAGGAAGTATTCATTAGGGGATGAAATTTGTTCGTTTGTGTCAAGTGAGAGTCACTTTTGATGTTGATCGCGACGTTTCGACTGCAATACTGCTAGTCTTCATCAGGCGATGAGTTCGATTGTTTACGTGTCGCTATTTGTAGCATGTTAGTACGCTGTTATAGGTTCATTTCGATCCTCATGATTATTCCGGTTGTTAGCTGGTTTTCCCTCATAGGTCCTCATAAATCAGCTCTTTTGTTGTTTGATCCCTACCATCCACTTGGATCTGTCAATTTAGCTTTGTGTTTACTTTGGCTGCTACGCTTGTTTCTTTCTATTTTTCTTCTTTTTCATTTACAGACGTTTTTGGTAAGGATTCTTGGTTTTCATTTGGCTCTCAAAAACATGTCTTAAAGAGATTTTCTCTTTTTGTAAAAGATGATCGGAGGTTTTGTAAAATTTGTTTCCAGCGAGGGTTGATTGTGGATCCGACTCCATTGTTCCCTCAACATTTGTTTAAAATTTTTAACTGCCAGGTGCTACGTTGTGACGAAAGGCAATAAACGTTCGTGACCTTTCATCTTTTTTGTATGTTTGAGGACGATTTTTAAAAGGTAAAGTTGACCCCTGACAGAGATCTTTCTGTGATGTTTTCTGATTACCCTCTTGCTTTGAGGCGTTGTTTGAATGTCAAAAGCCCTCTTCAAATGTTTTTTTTGGAAGAGTTAGCTCTAAGCAGTCATATTACTTGCCTTTAATGAAACCATATTTTACTCCTGGTGGGTGGCACCAAAGGCGGCCCAAGCTCACGTATCGAGAAAAGGCCAACGATTTATTCATGAAGGCGTCACGCGTTGTGTGACTCGGTTTTAAGTTACGAGAGGAACCGTTGTAAGTTTGAACGTCCTGTAAGGAATAGTATGGGGAACAATAAACAAAGAAACTCATAGATAGCCAATCAAATGCGAGCCTTGGATGTTGCAACAAAATTAGAAAATTTGAAAATTTGCGAGCGAAACAATGGCCGGCGTTTTAATAAGGTTTTCTTTCGTCACCGCAGCTGAAAAACAGCTCAAACAGCAAAAACACTGTAAAAAGCATTGCTTGGTTGTCGGTTTGGAAAAAGTGGTGTTTAGAGAAGGGAATTGTCAAGGAAGAAGGGAATTGCCTGCGCGTGAAGTTTTGTTAGTCTTCAAAAAAATTTACTCGTGCTTATTTATTCCAAATTGCACTCGAAATCATGTGATTACCTAGACAAACATATCTCTCCTTCCTATCACCGGGATCAAAGGAAAATAATTGCCCGGATTGGATAAAAGCATCGTTTTCCAAATTTCAGTCTTTCCTTGAGCGATATACGTTTTAAATTGAGAATGATAACAACTCCTTTTCTCTCAGTTGTAGTTGACTGTGGCTAGGGGGGACTGGAGCTTGGAGCTCATACAGAAGCAGGAAGTGTGATAACCCAGCCCCAAGCTCTGGCGGCCAGCAGATAAATTGGTTAGAACATATAATTCTCCAAGATATTTTCCTTAAGATACATCGCCGCCTCCTGTGCATCGTAATAAAGAATTCAATTCAAATTTACAGTTTGCTACTTTCAATCTGTTTGATCTTTTCCATCGTCGCCTATCTTTGTTTCGCTATAGCTCCATTACGGTGCACCCGCGTTGAAGTTCATCTAAGTCACTCTAATCTTTTGTCTTACCTTAGGGTGCGCGCAATAATTACGCGTAAAGACCTCATGGGATTCCATATGAAGGAACGAATTCACAAGTGTCTTTAGAACTCGCATCAGGCGCAAGAAACGCAGTCACCGAGCTCGTCATCAGGGCACTGGCCAAGCGTAGAGGCTTGAAGCGGTTCTTGTTAATTTTCGGATAGATCGATAGGACTAGACATTTCGCGTTTGGTTCGCGTTTGCATGGACCAATAAGAGTACTGCTCGGTGATAAGTCTTCAATACTTGCACCATCTTAACAGTGGATCAGTAACAGGCAAATCCAAAACCAATCGCGACTTTATGACTCACGTTTTCTTGCGCCTGAGGAAGTTTTGTCGTTTTTAACCAGATTTTCTATTGACGCCGCTTGATATTTTCCTTCGTTTTGATTGGCTGTTGCGATTACTTCGTTTTCGGTTTTTACCTGTCCCCAGGTAATTAGGCTGACAAGAGGAGGGAATAAAGTAAGCTGATGCTACATTTACTTTAGCAAAGATTGCTTGTCCAATGACAGTTCACATACCCATAGGTGATCAATATATCGTATTTTCTGATTGCAGGGTTTAAGTGAAAGAGGACGTTGTTCTTGGTGTTTTTCCTTTGAAAAATAATCGAAGGTATCATGTGCTCTTTAGTCGTAAGGTTGTTCAACTTGTAGACAAAGCTTTATATGACTATGGCCAACAAATTGATGTACTTTAAGATTTAGTAATGGATGGATATTTTGATATAGGTCCTGAAAAACTGACAAAATTATTTGTTTAAGATCTAATAAAGTTTATAATATCGCTAAGTATTCACTGTTATACCTGTTTACGAAAGAAAGGAAAATAAGAATTGAATAGTTGGCAAATGAGAAAGGAAATACATTTGAAAGAGTCAATTGTTTTTAGACTTGTTTTGTCTTGTAATTTTTACACGAATACAATCATACTTTTACTAGTTCAGATAAAACAGAATGAAATATTTTAATGTATTCATTAATAGTAAATTTAGATCGGGGAAAAGCAAAAACAATTATGTGGCTTCATATGAGAACAAATGCAAGGGATTGTCACAAATGAAGCAAATAAATTAATAGAAGTATTTAGACAGTAGTTGTCAATGACATGATGGTGGTTTCTTGAGAGCTTTCGGAAAATCTTCTAGGGAGATTATCTGGAGATTCTGGTGTGGTTAGCAATCTCTAGGAAAACTGTCGACTTGGATCGTTCCAAAAGATTTGAACATTCCTTCCTGTGAAGTTAGCTTTTACCCCTGGACTGCTTTTAAAATGTAATTGCAAATGGTTATAGGTTCTCGATCTAATACCGGCGTGAGAGTATGTAAGCAGTCATGTCATCTCTGAAAAAGGGCTAACGCTCTAAACGTCTTCTTGGAAACTCTTCTCTGTGGCCAATTTACAGTATCAATTGAGTTGATGAAACCAAATTATCTATGTTAGCAGTCAGTTTGGAAGTGACTATGGAAAGACTACGGAGAGATTGACTTTAACTACGGTGACACTATGACTAATGACTACGGGGAGACTATGACTATCGACTCTAGAGAGACTATGACTAGTGACTACATGGAGAGACTAGGACTACAGGGAGATTATGACTAGTGACTACAACGAGACTATGACTACTGACGACAGGTAGAGGCCATGACCAGTGACTACGGAGAGGCTATGACTAGTGACTAAAGGGAGACTACGACTAGTGACTAAAGGGAGACTACGACTAGTGACTAAAGGGAGACTATGACTAGTGACTATGGAGAGACCATGACTAGTGACTATGGAGAGACTATGACTAGTGACTATGGAGAGACTATGACTAGTGACTACGGGAAGAGTATGACTAATGACTATGGAGAGACTATGACTAGTGACTATGGAAAGACTACGAATAGTACCTACGTGAAGACTGAGACTAGTGACTGCAGGGAGGCTATGACTAATGACTATGGAGAGACTATGAACAGTATGTACGTGGAGACTGTGACTAGTAACTACAGGGAGACTATGACTAATGACTATATGGAGAGACTATGAACAATATCTTCGAGGAGACTGTGACTAGTGAGTGTGGAGAGACTACGAATTTTGACTATGGGAAGACTATTATTGATTACCATGGTGAGAGGATGACTTTGATGATGAGAAGATTATGACTAGGGACCACGGGGAGACTATGACCTGTGACTACTGAGAGACTGACTAGTGACTACTGGGAGACTCTCACTAGTAACTACGGGGAGATTGTGACTAGTGACTGCTGAAAGACTTTGACTAGTGACTATGGAGAGACTATGACTTCTGACTACGGGGAGACTGTAATTAGTGACTACAGGGAGAGTATGAATAGTGACTACGGGGAGACTATGAATAGTGACTATGGAGAGAGTGAAAATATTAGGATGCCTACAAGTTGTCTGTTTTCAGGGATATTTCATAGCCGCGGGTTTTCATTAGAAGGGAATATAAAACGATAACGCAGTTTTCTTCATAATTTAGGAGTGTTTAATTTTATAGCGTGTCAAAACCTTCTCCTAAGGATTATTATGTCACATATTTAACCCCTCAATTTAACAAAAAACTGGAACTTTTACTCATATTCTGTACACATAATAGGTTCCTTCCTTTCCAACTCCCTTCCAACAGTCTCGGGAAGGTCCGTACTTATTGTACGTGTTTTCAGCGTCCAGTCCACTCCAACATTCTCCGTAAAACTTGATTCCAAACACGGGATGGCCACGCTCCTTGGCGATCTCTGCGCATGCTCGAACGATTTTCGTCATGTCATGCCAATCGATGTTACCCCGGAAGCTTTTTAGTAACAACGGGAGAGCGTGGGGATGACTGTCTCTAAAACAACCGACTGAATTGTACTCAACTGTAAAGAAAATCGTTCCAAATTAAAAGGATTGTTGATTAGTAATTCATTTGTGACTTCCTACTGATAAATCTTCAATTCGCAAATCTAGACAGTCGTGAATGTAGCATGCTCTTGTTTCAAGGTTTGACCTAGGGCATACACTGTCACAAGTGGAAGAGTTGATCGGCAGTAGCCAAACACACACACGCATGCGCTTTTGGACACCAGAACCAGCTCATGTTTAGCTACATGGGTCCCAGATAATCATTAGAGTAAAACCTTGTACATTTCCTGGCCTTCTCATGGCAGAAATCACCAGAAACTGCAACGGACACACAAGGAGAGTAAAATGTTCACATTGCGGAATATTTGGCGTGGTAAATCGACCATATTTCGTTTCCCCAACTATTCCTTATAACTTATTAAGTCAACGGTTCTCACGTAAACCAGCACCACGTAACACAACACGTGACTCTTTCATTAATAAATACATACGTGTCCGAGAATTAATCTTTCGTCTGTCTCGAGACGTAAGCTTTGGACGCCTATGCTGAAACTCCTTAATTACAAGCGCAACAACAACCTAAAGAAACCTCATCCCAGCAACCCGGGGTAATAAAATTGTATGTAAACGCGTTTTATATTTCGACCACTGCTAGGCGGATTACCTCAGCTACCTGGAGTCCCCCATCTCCATGTAAACAGGCCCTTAGCCTTTAAATGACATATTAATCAATCCACTATACAACGGATACCAACCACGAAAATTGGAGGTGGGAAAAAGCAAAAAATAAAATAATAATAATTATAATAATGATGATAAAAATGAAGCAGATGACGAGATGGGTCGAAGTAAAAAATTTACAGGAGGAGATAACACACAAGCATGAAAGTAAACCTAACATTTATTTAGAGAAATTCTCAGTTTCTGGTCACCTTTTTTTCCACATTTTTTTCCCTTGAAACCAACTTGACACAAGCATATGTATCTCTCATCTGTGAACCCATCACGACAGGTTGCATTACGAAGACAAGGGCTGCTCGAACATGGGTTCTGCAGGGATAAATTTACCTTTAGTAGGATTGTTTATAATAAAAAGTCAGTATCACCATACCAAGGAAAATTGGAAAAGGAATCTATCATATTGTGTTCTATCCAAATATCCACACCTTTGTAGCCCAATACTGGTATCCTTCTTGAGGTTTAAGGTCATCAGGATGTTGAATGTGATCAGATCACTCAGTTGACAGACCCTGAGTCCATTATTGCTGGGTGGGCCAACGTTCACGGACACACAGGTGTCTTCCATGAGGCACCTATTTTTGCAGTCGCTATAGGGCTTAATTCCCATGGGTAAATGTATTTGTTTGAAAACGTGTTGTTGCAGAGCATATCCTCCAATTGGTTTCTCAAACATAAGACTTCGACAATGAATACCTGAAACTGATTGGTTAGAGATTTGGTGACAAAAGTGTTAGACGTTTTTTCCTTCAAATAGTATAACAAATTCTTCCACATTTCTGTTTCATGTTAAATCAGCAATGGTCTAATGGCAGGTTAGTCGTTAATTTTGCACAATGAGCTATCGTCTTAAAAGAGAAGGCGCCAGCTAAAATATTGCTCAGCTCAAACGTATCACTTGCTGGAGCCGTCCAGGAGATTATTGGCCCTCAGTTGTTTCTGAACGGAGCCAGCGCTGTGACATTAGGCCAATATTCCCCAGTACGGCCCCCTCGCTCGGTTGGTAAGAAGTCAGTATTCAAGGCTTTTGACTGACATTTCATCCCACGAGATTTCGTAAGCAAAGCTACATATCTCGCAAAGTTGAAACAAAATTACGATAGAATTTCACATCATACGACTATATTTTTTAACTGGATAATTCTGAGAGAGAAAGAGACTGAAGGAGTCAGAGGTACGAGGAAGTCTGTACGGTAATGTTATTTCGAAACGGTATGAATTTACTTCTAGAAGTATTTCTCGAGGTAATTAAACAGCTGTGTATAAATTGTCGCGTTTCCTTTAAATCGATCACATTATACAGTAACTGTGACCAAAAAAGATCAGATTTTATTCGGAGTATTTTAAGAATGAAATTTATCATTTCTACACGTTTTGGAGGAGCGTTGGATTTTAAACAGTGCTGTATGAAAATTTCGTTTTTCTCTCATTACTAATTAAAGCTTTCTTCATTATTTAGAAAGAAGATATTTTGTGGAATACAAACATATTCTTGTGACAAGATACACTTTATTCAGTAGTATATCAACGAAGATGGAGAAAAAGAGTGAAAGGGGAGTTAAAGGTACAAAAAATAAACGTTTTCCCCCAAAAGAGCGTGCGCTAGCGTCCTCATTCCCCCTCCCTCCCCCTCTTCCTTTTTGATTGGAGCTATGTGAAATGAGCCATGTTGAAGAAACACTTAAAAAGCTGGAGAAACAAAGTGAAATGAAACTAAGAGACTTAAAAGTGTAGCGTAGCTTAAAAGTGTACCGCAAGTTGGGAAAATATATCGCAAAGTTGATGTAAAACAAAAATTCCAGCACCGGAAACAAAGAGGATAAAAGAAACCATTTACACCGGAAAAATTAAGCTTAAACGTGAAGAGTCGATGGGGAAAATGAAAATTTCATCCTCAGTAGGTAAAGGAGACTTTCTTAGTCTTTCTTGACTTTTTTAGGCAGTTAATAAATCGCATATTAGATTAAAGTTGCATTAAGAGAGGAGAGGAGTGAATCAAATTCTTTACATTGGTTTCCTTCTGTAAAGCAGAGAAGCCATCCTCCCCACAGAAAAAATATTTAAAAGCGAAGACAAAAATAAAGAACAGCGCTCTTCAATCCTCAACATAACATTAGGGAATGATTCCCAAATCTTACTTTTGAAGGGAGAAGCGCGAGTCTAGCACTTTTAAGCGTTCGCAAAGTATTTGACAGATTCATCGCTGACAAACTGTATCAATTATTGATAAGTATCAATGCGATACTCAACTGACATACACGCCCTCTCGTTTTTAGGCAATTATTCCCTCCACCTGGGAAATGAGAATCAATTTGACTTGACTTTCTAAGCCAATAACGGCCAGCTGATATTCGATGAGTTTTCGAGCCCCATTTGCTGAAACACTCCTATAACTTGAATGTACTGAATTACTGCGATCAGTGATAGAGGAGATTGTGATATGAGACTTTTCATCACGATCAAACAGAGCAATGTGAAATTTTGTAAAGAATGAAGACATTCATTTGCGTCGGGAAGTCAAAATATTGACTTAACCTATGCATACGTCTGTTTGACAACACATGAACATAATATTTCACTGCCTTGTAGTTCTTGGAAAATTTAATTGCTTGCTACCTGTGCATTGAGCTGTTTATCTATAACACATAACTGGATGAAAAGAAAAGGATTTGTAATGAAGCAACTTCTTTGGAAAACCTCTAAATTGCTCCAAAGGAATCAGTTAAATCCCTTGTATTAATCATAATTGTAAGCACCTTTTGTTTACATCTGCAGATCCATTTCTTCAGCATTAAGCATGACATTTTTAGATAGAATTTGGTGTAAAAAGCAAGGATTCTCCCCTTAAATTAGACAATTTTTAGGCATTTTTTGTACTCGTTTCTTCTGCAGTGCAGCCACAGCAAAATTCCAAGCCCCAATTTTTGGTGAGCTTCCTGTTTAATGTATATTTCACTGTACACAGTTTCCAGTGTCTCCTACAGATGTACCAATCCTTAATCTAATAGGCCTAGCACCGGGAGTTTATCTTTCAAAATTCCCCAAATATTTTTGTGTCAGACATGACTGTTCTTTCGATAGAGAAGAGAATGAAGTGTCAAATCGAAATTTACTCTAAGGTGAGGGAGGAGGGTAGGTAATCTCTAAATGAACGTAGTCCTGCTAAGTTTCTTTGTTTATTGATTGGTCCTTCGACTTTAGTTTGAAATTGATTTTTAGACTAGACGTAGCCGGATTTTATCATTCACGCGCAAAATGGAAAAGGAAGGTGATGGTAATTTGCAATAGTTCTGCTCGATCATGGCCTGTACAGTCAAGAAAAACACAAACAATGTACTGGAGAGTATTTTTTATTGCTAGCACTAAACTTCCAGTCTCACCTACGATGTAGCAACAGCTTTATAATGTTTTGAAATGAAATAAAACTTCAGGAACACTTTTCTCCTTTAAAAGTTTCATGCGGAGACGCTAAGTTAAACCTTGCCTTGTGTCAAATTTACAGCTGTTATAATACCTCTAAGTCTCATTCAAGGTAATGATAACGTTAGGCAAGGTACATCAACATCAAGCTTCTTCTGTTCGAGGGAAACAGAGATTCAACCATCTTTTTCCCCCCTCTCGACTAGACCTAAGGTCATAGAGCAGTCTTACTCTTTCTAGCTCAAACAAAAAAATTTTTAGCCGATGGTATCGATATCTCTTTGTTACCAAAAGTGTATAATCGAAATGCATGGTTAGCGTACTTTTCTTTCTCCAGAATATTCTACTAAAAAGCGTGATATAAATTCTCGTAAAAGGTATGTTGGAAAACCAAATGTAGGTCATGCAAGTTATCTAGGACTACAAGTAAATGTAGATGCTATCACTTAAATCAAGTACTTGTGCAATATGTATACTTCACACAACAAAAGGACCATTTTACTTTCTATCGCTACTTTTTGTAATGGTAATAGGACCGAGTGGAGTCCAACTCGGTCTGTAATCATACGAGCGATTGACAAAATGTCGATACGATTACAGACAGAATTTGCCGAAAAGAAGTCCTATTATCAATTAATTACAGGTTTCCGATTACAGCTGACTGTTCGATTACACTGTCCTCTTATAACTGTACGGAATGATTTTTGAAAAACGAGGCTGCAAATGCACCAATAATATTTGAGGAATTTTTAATGGTTTTTGATTAAACCAAATACTAACAGATACGTCGTACCTAATTTTAGGTTGGAACTCTAGCTTGGCTTTACAATTTCAAGACGCGAAAAGAGAAAGCTGTTTTTGTTATACTAGTTGAAACCTTTTCCGGTTTTTTAAGTTGTCTTACCAATTTGTAATTTCTAATTATTTTCCTCGCCTAAAGGCTCGAAAATAATTAAAATCTTGGCAAGTCGTGAGTGAAATTACCTACTTACCTCACTCTTAATTATTTGATTACGATTACTTAAGCATAAGATTATACCTTATAGCAGCGTTTGAAAAGGCATTTGGGTTCTTGACTACTCCTGTATGAGAAGTATCCTTACTGTTTGGATTCAAATCTATACTGATCTTCTCTTAGGATTGGTAAATAGGGTCAGCGTGATAGTGCTAACTAACAGGCAATACTTCACACTCATGAAATCGTCCAGAATTTGTTTCTCATCGTTCAAGGTTGCCCCTTGAGATGATTGGTCCATGCGTAATGTCATCTTTCCCAATGACCCTATTGCTAGGATTAACCTTTTAACTCCCAAGATCTCTTAAGTAATTCTCTTTACTGTCTGCCATACAACTGTTGTGATGTTAATTTGGAGAATTTGGTATTGAATCAACTAACAATTCCCGAATTGATATTTTTCTTTATTCTCATCACTTGTATGCTTAATATTGTATTGATAATGTAAGGAGAATTTCTTTCTTGGTCACTCATGGGAGGTAAAGGGTTAAACAACATTTGTTCTAACGTTTGGTAACATAGGCTACTTAAACAAGAAAACCGAATTTCATTCCTTTAACTTCAAAGCTGATGAGATTTGATCGAGTTTAAGTTCAATCCATTATCAGAGGTACAACGTGTGAAATCCGTCTGCGGGAAAAAATCATTACTATCTCAAATTGTTTGGGATTTTTTTTGTCTTTTTAGTCGTAGATAAGGGCCTCCTTTAATTTCGGGCCAAATTATACTTTTAGTGACTGCTATCAGTCAACCGGAATGCCAATCATACAGAGTTGAATTCTAATTCCGTCATCAGTATATTTGATTACACGTATTTTTTCATTTTAGAGTAATGTGATAGTCACCTGACCATGACCAGCCGTTCTATAACAACATGCATTGTCCTGGTTGTTTCCATCGTTGTAAGAGCCGCCCCCACCCCCACAGGAATTATACCTAAAAGCTCCACTGCTTCCCCCAGAGTACCCTCCTCCTCCTCCTCCTCCTCCTCCTCCTCCTCTATCCCGTCCATAAGCTCCTCCTCCTCCACCAAACCCACCAACAACATTGAGATCTACTGATCTCCCACCAACCCCTCCCTGAAGAAATCCCTTACCACCTTCTCCGCCGTTTCCCTTGGTCCCATTGAAATCCTTTCCACTTCTTCCACTGGAGTAAAACCCACCACCACCACCCCCTGAGAAAATAAAAAACAAAAACCATTGATGATTAAGGTCGTAGACTTTGCTTTTTTTAAATCCCCTAATGTACCTATATCAACGTGGTCATACCTGTGTATGATGTATTTCTATTGAGCTGCCATCCGTTAGGTTTAATATTTTTACATGTGTCTATATTATCCCTATATGCATAAACTGGTGCTTTTCCTAGCTAGTGTCAGTGGTTATTGTTGTTTTTTGGGGGGGGACTAGGGCCGATTATTTAAATTTGAAGCATACATTAACACATTAATTAATAAGGAGCTGAGAGGTAAGGGATCATCACAGTATTATCTTACCTGAATCATTATCATCAGCAGTTTGAGCACCATGCCCATTGCTCCCCCCTGACCATGATCTGTATCCAGGATTCCCCGTTGTATTTGTACTGGCGTCGCATCCTTTATGCCTTGACAAAACACATTCTGTGCCTCCTCCGCCTCCAGCTATTATCAAAGGTGAGTCGGCTCCTCTCACTACAAATGTACCTCCACCACCGCCAGAACCAATATATATCTTGTTTATTCCTCCCTCTTGACCTACAAGTATTTGAATGACCTCACCCTTGTTTAAGCGGAATGTTCCAATCATTCTTGCTCCTCTTCCTCGGTACTGAGAGCTGTTAATCCGTTGATCGTACCCTCCTGCTGCTCCTATTGCTTCTATTATGTAGTCACCAGAGTACGGCACAGTCCACTGTTGAATACCGCTGGACAATGTAACTTGTCCGTCATGATCCTAACCTGTGTAATGACTGCCCAGCGATATTGGACCATATCTTCCAGTGGCATTGAGATTTGTTAAAACTGCTTTGAATGCTGAAGGGCAAAAAAGGTTCAACTCAACCTCTTTTCAAATCAAAAGTTCTTTCGTTTATTAAAAAGCATAGTCAAGCTTTCTTATTACTTATTGTTCATTTTATTGGTTTGTCATCTTGATAAGTCAAGTCACCATTCTATCAGTTCTAAAAAAGATGGTGAAAAGATCGAGTGGAGTTTTGATTCGGTCCGTAAATACACGAATGATTAACAAAATCTGACGACGGTATAGCTGGAGTTTTCCAACGATTTCTTTTCCGTCAGATGTTAATTTTTTTTACAACATAACGCAATAAACACAGGGAACAATGGAAAAACAGCAAAGCTACCAAAAGCCAAACTGGATTTTGCGCGCCGTAGTTTTTATTTTTTGGGTGCCTCGATTTTTAATTCGTTACCTTTAGGTTTAAGGAACATAAATTCTGGAGTTTTCATTTAGGAAAGCCCTGGACGATTATTACGGGTAATTTCCATTGTAGTTTTAATAGTTTTTAACTTAGTGTATTTTTTTAAATAGATTTTATCTTATATATATTTTAATTTCTTATTTCTGAGTTTTTAATCATAATCAAAAGGACCTTGTTGATAACAGTACTTTTGTATTGAAGGGTTATACTGAATAAATAATTCGATTATAATCATCATTATTATTATTCTCGGAATTTTTTTTTTTGCATCTATTCTTGTTTTTAACTGTTTTTTTCGCTCCGTTGTGACCTTTTTTTTTTTTGAGCGTGTTCTTGCCCTTTTTTTGGCAAAATTGAATTATGGTAGAATAAAAAAGGTTTGTAATCTAGGAATGCTACATTACTAAAAATATATTGCAATGATTACTCTGAACTTAACCATGAAATTTCATCTTTCTCCCTTAAAACCTTCTTTACATCTATAACTGTAAGACTTCTCGATATTATAAACACAGCCTTGGCATGGCAGTTATGGGTATTGTTAGATCACTCGTCAATATCTAAAACAAATGATTAAAGCGCGATACACTACACGAGATGACACGAAGTATCCCATGGGACGCGAGTATCGAAATGAAACAAAAACCAAAAATGGGTACAAAGTGTTATAATTGCATCGTAACTGCTCGAAGAACATATGTACATTTACGCTACGAAACTTAAACTGATATAAAGGACACATACATGAAATAGTAAATATGCGTGATGCAACGCATAGTGGTCCTCACCTTTTTCACAATGTTCTCCCTTGTAACCAGCCTGACACACACATTTGTATCCCTTGTCCGTAAATCCAACCAGGCAAGTTGCGTTCTTATGGCACATACTGAGGCAACACTTGTTCTGGTGAAAACATATTTTACCTTCAGACATGGTTTGATGCTACTCTGGTTGAAAGATTTAATGAATGTAACCAAAAAGTTACAATTCATAGACGCAACGTTTCGAAACTCCTTTCTAGTGTCTTAATCAGAGGTGATGAGAAGTGATGAAGAAGACACTAAACAGGAATGTCGAAACGTTGGGTCTATTAAATGTAACTTCTCGGTTACATTCATTAAATCTTTAAACCAGAGTAACACGAAACCATGTCTGATTGTCTACCTGGTTGCCATGTGAACTTTGATATATATATATTGCCTTATTTTTCATAAAGATGCTATACACGCTCGGATTGATAATAACTCTTTTGATATATTATGAGAACACAAAAAAGAGTACAAAAACTTGTCCTTAAATGGTCTCAGATACGACATGGAAAAATTTTTCTGGCGTTATAAAAAGATCTTACAACATCCCAGAAATGTTATGTGGCACTCTGGGTCCTAATCAATCGGATAGCGTTATTTAGTACCATGCGGCTCAAATGGACTGATCGTATAACGTAACGTGGCTATATTGATTGGCAGGTGTGGAAGAATGCTCTTGTGGTGTAAGGGAATTGGAAAAGTTTTAAAAAGCAGCGAGTCTTAAGTACCAGATTCAAGTGGTGTCGTTGAATAAGCTTCACCTGACTATTTTCAAGGGTCCTTGCAAAGATTGAACCGGTGCAAGTAGATGGACATCACCATCATGGTTTCGCATCGTAAGGAGGAATCTTGAGCAAATCGTCTCATTGTCACGAATGCGACTGTGCATTTAATACAGATGATTATGATCATCATACTTGCGGAGGGAAGAAATGTTTCTCGTGTCATCGCCGTAATTGTCCTGGAAAACGTCAAAGTGACACTTCTCTTCAGATGTGCTGTGTATGTCCACGTTCGTTTTATGGAGAAGCTTATTATCGGTATCATAGACTCGACCCAATCCTTGCGTGAATCTATTTGCAAAACGTACAAATAATTTTTCCGAATTCTTTAAGGAAGTCGAAAACAGCCACAAGAAAGAATCAATATAGGGATGATCGAAGATCCATAGTCGCCAAATATCGATGAGGAGTGGCCAAATGCCAAGTCTGTGGGGAATATGTCAACATAAGTGTTACATTAAACAGGCAAAAAAGAAAAAAAGACGAGTAGGACGTTATGTTGAAGATTGTAACATCATCCTATTCTCTTGTGTTGAAAGACCGCCGCTAACGATGAGAAGGCGCAGGAGTTTTGCGTTGAAAATTGTTCCGAAGAATTTTGTTTTCGATTTCTTGAATGAAGTGGCCGTGAGCGAAAATGGATTTTAATAGTCTGTCGAGGTATTGTTTCATAATCTTAAAGGATACGATGGGATGTTTGTTTTGGAAGAACTTTTCGACAGCATCGTATGGTCGAGAATCAAGTCTGTGTGGGAACCAAACTCCTATCTGTGACATCAGGTCCTATCACGTTCGACTCGTTTTATTTCTTTCCCCTTCTTTGACTTCGTTTCCTAATTTTTCACTCATTTTTTTAACAAAAGTAAAAATCAAAATTACGACGGACTCTTGCCGCCTGCGACACGTTTTATCATAACGGTATGCGTCACGACAATCGACGAGAATTTGAGACCTGGTTCCATGATAAAATTCGACGGGATGTGAACTCTCATATATTTTAAGAAATGGCAGATTATTGCATCTCTCAAGCTCTTGAAAGCCGGATGTCAGAAATTCCGAAAAAATTTACTCAAGAGGCCCAATTTGATCCTATGGAACATTGTATCACTATTACCAGAGCTTGTAATATGCATTGGAGCAAACATCATCGTGGAACCACCTGGTGGTTGGCATGGGGTGCGCAATAATTAATCTACCAAAGCTTTGAGATGGTTAAAACGGATAGAACGCATGCTACGTTTGAATGACACCAAAGGAAGAGATGAAGATCGAGTTTCGCATGCTAGGAATGGAGGGGAACGTGCGATCGTGACACCTACGTGAGTCTATAACGTTGACGGATTCGATGCATACGAATTTCACGGATGTTTATGGTGCAGATGTCCTCGTTGTCATGCGATTTCTTCGGTACACCCTACTGTATTACGAGAGGAGTGTAGGAGACCATCTGTGAAGATAAGGCCTCGTTGAAACTGATGGGATACAAAGTCATCGAGGAATGGGAAGATGACTGGGATTTTGAAGCCCTACATGATCTTCTGTTGGAGGGATTTTTTAAAGATCTAGTAGTGGTTAGGCCTTGAGTCCCCGTCATGCTTTTCATGGTGTAAGAATAGGAGCTGACTGTCTGTATCAAAAGACGGACGAGACAAAAGGGAGAAAGTTCATTACATCGATGTCACTTCCGAGTATCCTTTAGAGAACAAGTACAGACCTTATTCCGTAGGAAATCCCCAAATTTTCACGATTTGAAAGACTCATGACAATTCTTAACTTTTCTGATAGGCTAGTTTTTCAACTTCTTCTGGTTCTTCGTCTTCCTCTAGTTCTTCATCTTCTTCTAGTTTTTCCTCTTCTCCTAGTTCTTCATCTTTTTCTAGTTCTTCATCTTCTTCTAATTATTCCTCTTCTTCTTCCTCTTATTCTAGTTCGTCATCTTCTAGTTCCTCCTCTCCTTCTAGTTCTTCATCTTCTAATACTTCATTTCCTGCTAGTTCTTCCTTTTCCTCTAGCTCTTCCTCCTCTTCTAGTTCTTCCTTTTCCTCTAGCTCTTCCTCCTCTTCTAGTTCTTCATCTTCTTCTAGTTTTTCATCTTCTAGTTCTTCCTCTTCTTCTAGTTCCCCCTCTTCTTCTAGTTCTTCACCTTTTTCTAGTTCTTTATCTTCTTCTAGTTCTTCCTTCTCTTCTAGTTCTTCCTCTACTTCTAGTTTTCCTCCTCTTCTGGTTCTTCTTCCTCTTCTAGTTCTTCCTCCTCTTCTAGTGCCCCCTCTTCTCCTAGTTCTCCCTCTTCTTTTAGTTCTTCCCCTTCTTCTACTTCTTCCTCTTTCTCTTCTATCATCTTCTAGTTTTTCATCTTCCTCTTTTTCTTCATCTTCTTCTAGTTATTCCTCTTCTTCTTCCTCTTCTTTCCTCTTTTTATCTATGAATTCCTCCTGTTCTTCTAGTTTTTTATCTTCTAATTCTTCATTTCTTGTTCGTTCTTCCTCTACCTCTAGCTCTTCCCCTCTTCTAGTTCCTCTTCTTCTTCTAGTTCCTTTTTTTCTTCTTGTTTTTCATCTTCTAGTTCTTCCTCTTCTTCTAGTTTCTCCTCTTCTTCATCTTCTAGTTCTTCATCTTCTTCAAAATCTTCATCTTCTTCAAAATCTTCATCTTCTTGTAGTTCTTTCTCTTCTTCTAGTTCTTCCTCTTCTTCAAGTTCCTCCCCTTCCTTAGTACTTCATCTTCCTCAGGTTTTTCTCTTCTCCTGTTTCATCCTCTTTCTCTAGTTTTTCATCTTTGTCTAGTCTTTCTTCTTCTTCTAATTCTTCATCTTCCTCTTCTTCTAGTTCCTCTACTGTTTCCTCTTCTTCTAGTTTTTCCTCTTCTAGTTTTTCCTCTTCTAGTTCTTCATCTTCTTCTAGTTCTTCCTCTTCTTCTAGTGCTTACTCTTGTTCTAGTTCTTTCTCCTCTTCTAGTTCTTCCTCTTCCTCTAGTTCTACATCTTCTTCTAGTTCTTCATCTTCTTCAAGTTCTTCATCTTCTTCTACTTCTTCCTCCTCTTCTAGTTCTTCCTCCTCTTCTAGTTCTTCCTCTTTTCTAGTTCTTCCTCTTCTTCTAGTTCTTCCTCCTCTTCTAGTTCTTTCTCTTCTTCTAGTTCTTCCTCTTCTTCTAGTTCTTCCTCCTCTTCTAGTTCTTCCTCTTTTCTAGTTCTTCCTCTTCTTCTAGTTCTTCCTCTTCTTCTAGTTCTACCTCCTCTTCTAGTTTTTCCTCTTTTCTAGTTCTTCCTCTTCTTCTAGTTCTTCCTCCTCTTCTAGTTCTTCCTCCTCTTCTAGTTCTTTCTCTTCTTCTAGTTCTTTATCTTCTCTTAGTTCTTCCTCTACTTCTAGCTCCTCCTCCTCTTCTAGTTCTTCCTCCTCTTCTTATTTTTCTTCTTCCAGTTCTTCCTCTTCTTGTAATTCTTCATCTTCTTCTATTTCAACTACGTCTTTTCCACTCAAGGCGCCTACTTATCCAAACACTTAAAATTCATGCCTGTGGATGAAACTCGAATAAATTGGAATGTTTTGTTCAGAGCTATTAGATCGTATTCTGTTATTGTACATCGAGAACTTATAGATGATTTATTTCTGCACGAGAGGAAACCTAAATTTCTCCATTGTAAAACAACAACATCATGGGCGATTTCCACCAGGAAGAGTGGGCGTCCCGCTCGCAACAAGGATCCCCTATCCAACCATTGTTCCATTGTGCACATCAAGAAAAATGATGGAGAGAAAACAAACCATCAACGCAGAAAAAGTACTATTTCTTTTTAGCAGCTCTTATTCCAGCTCTCATATTCGGCGGAAAAAACAAAAAAGCAGCCGGACACCGGATGACAAAAAAGTGTCAAAAAAGCCCAAAAGGCTGCATCACCAAAAAAAATCATTTAAGCCATCCAAGTGTTATGGAAAAATCAATTAAAGGAGTGCAAAATAAGGATGTAAGGAAATCCCAGAGAAAATCATGAAATCAAATTGTTTTCTTTACTTCCAGTGACGTCATTTCCGCTAAAAATGTGCAAAGTCCTTATCGGCAGACTTTCTAATGCCGCTAAAATGTAAGAGTTTTGTGTAATTACCAATTTTTTGTATATGATTGGAAAACTTGCGTCACGTGGTACCAAATAACGGTAACTGATTGGTTAGAACCCAGAGCGCCGCATAATACAACCTATCCCATGTGTGTTATTACACTGCGAAGCTAAAAGAAACATCAATCAATTGACGCTTTAATATTACTAGGTTCTTTTAATTTTCCGCTTTGATATCCTCAAAAAAAGGTTCTAATTGCTGACACCGATCAGATCATTCATAGCACGATCCCAAAGAGCTTTTTGCAGGTGCATAGGAATCGCGAGCACTCCATGTTGTCGATTTATCCCTTTACAAAATTACTTCATTTCAACGATTTTTATTCTCAAGTTCCATTCGGAATAGACATTGCGATTCTGTGACTTTTTTCGCGCGATTTACAAAAGAGGATTTAAAATTTGCAAACTCAAAAACCGAAATTGTTTTGCTTACCTCCATGCCCCTATACGTAAAGCCTTCTGTCGGTTTCAGATCATTTGGGTGTTGAACGTGATCTGAGTCACTTATCTGACACAAAACTTTATCTTTATCTTCTGGTCCCATGTTGATTGATTTACATCTGTCTTCCATCATACACCTATTCTTGCAGTTACTGTACGTATGCATTCCGGCAGGTAATGAAATATTTTTTAAAATATGGTTGACCAATGCATATCCATCCTCTTTTTCCATGAAATTGACTCGCCGACAGCTATCTATAAATAAGACAGTAGTGGATCATAAGTGTGCAAAACGGCTCTCTGAAAGATGCCAATAGAGTAGACTTTAACTGAATAAAACCTGAATAGATTCAAAGATCGAGCGATCTTGGAGATTTGAGAATTTCTATGGACATCAACTCAATGGGCTGAAAATTCAGTCGATTTGGATTCTAGAATCTATCTACCAAACGTTCGGAGTGTGCATCGCTTTTCGACAGTCTTTGGTTGGGATATCGCCGTTCTATTGAATAATTTTTTCAATTTTGGCACTCACAGAATGTTACAGAACCTCACCCGACTTAGAGAACTACTTATAGGCAATGTTATTTATAATGTATAAATGGGGGGTAAGTTTCTAAAGAAATTGTGATGCTGCGTCTGCGGGAGAGTATAGCAAAGTCATTGTGTTTTATCAACTGAGTTTATAATGTAAATTTGCCATTGTAAAGGGTTTCGTCGCAGGTGTGTTCTCGGAATCGGTCACCAAGTCGTTTTCTTCGGCAACCTCTACTACCTTTACTCAAACGCGACAAAAATATCGGCAACGGAACGAAACAGAAGTTTAATACAAAGTAGTTATAAACCCGGAACTTTCAAACGCGCGCACACACGATGCAAAACTTGTTCTTTCATTCACGACGTCCAGAAATATCGGAACCCAAGCAATCCCTTTACTGATCAGTTCACGTGCACCTCCGCCAATTTCATCGGTTACCTAACATGCACTTACTGCCAAAAGTTGTGCATTGGTTAAACAGGAATATGAAGTTGGACAGTAGAAAATATTTTGGTTGTTGCCACGCTCCGGGACATTACGAGAGTGATATTTCGAATTCTATTCGCCTAACTTACTTTGATGCGTTAATATCTAACAAACATTCTGGTCAATTATTGGGAAAATCCAAAAAATCTACACACGCAATCAATTTGTTTCAATAGAGATAACACGCGAAAAATAAACCTCGAGTTTTTGACTTCCATAGTTATTCATAGTTTTTGCATCTCGTTTAGACGCGTGCCAATGCGATCATGCCACCACCAATGAAATATCGGAGAGATTCTCGAGAAAGATCATTTCGCGAAACAGGGAAAACGGAATTAGAATGTCTTACGGGAAATCCAAAAATTTACCGGGAGAAACAGAACGAAAAGAGGACAAAACAGGCTAGGTAAAAAAGAACGATTTCGATTTCTCGGCGACTATTCTCTTTTTGGCCGCGTCATAGAGACTCTTATGTTTAACTCCATTGACTCACAGACTCCTTACTCACGGTAAATCATTAATAACCGCGATTTAATTGGGTGCGTCTAATTTTTCGCCACCAAAGAGGTAAAGTTGTTGCTTAGGAATAGAACATTTTCATTTTATTTACCTTTTATCAAAACGAGTGCGGAGAAACGAGTTCTTATACTCTCATAATGATGAAAGATAAAGAGTCGAGTGGAAAAGGATAAAGACCTCATTTACCGGTTTTTCTTATTGATCGTAAACAATTTTAACAATTGAAGCGTTTTAGCCTCAGCATTTATCTGAATTCCAAAAACACCTATATTGCATTTCTTTTAACAGATAACTTCGTCTGTTCCTTAGAAGATGATTTGAACGAATAGTCTACCATTTCAAGACTGAGGCGAAGTCAAACACTCGTGAAACACCTGCATTTAAAATATTCGACAACATGCAGTGTTTCTCAGAGTTTGAATACTTATTGGGTACACAAGCATCACGACTCATTTTTACAAATAAAATGGCTTTAGAACCATCGAAAAATAAGAAAGAAAATTATTGAGAGACCAAAACCCTTTATTTTTTTAATAACATTCCACTTATCGATATTTTTCCTCGCGTTACACTGGTCTCACGGTGTCTTATTCCTTCTGATGAATCATTTGTTAGTGTTACCCCGCAAGCTCTCGATCAGTTAGATCATTCTTAACAACCCTCGAATTGTAGCTTTTAGTTCGCAGTTATTGCTTGCTTAATAATGGAATTGATCTGAATAAATTCTCATCAAAATTTAGAATTTAGGAAAACCTCATTAAAAAATATCATAAAATATATCGATTTATGTTCCGGTCACGACTGAGTTTGCTGCAACTCGTCTTAAACTTGTTTAGCTCCCTCTTAAATCGTAGTTACCGTTTTTTATGAACTTCAATAAGCTATACTTGCAAACAAAATATCATATTTCGTTGTGCTCAAGTTTCTTAGAAATGGTCACAGCAGTTTTTAATTCAGAGCCTTATCACCCTATACGATGGAATAAGCTATTCAAATCATTATGCATTATTTTTTGGCCCTATCGCCAACTCGACTTAGCTTCCTTTAATTCCGGATTTTTCTGACTTCAGGAGTAAATTTTAATCAAACCCAGACAAAGCAATGTTAAAGTTAACTCACCTTGGTTCGCAACTGTCACGGTGTAGAACCAGCCTCCGAACAAGAAGAGGAAAGATCTGAAAGAAAACACTGGGCAGCAACGGCCCTCCATCTTAAGAGTCTTGTCAGGAAATATTTTCATCACTATTAGATGAATGCAGCAGCCATCAGTTGCCCATCTCTCACACTGTCAGGGTATTAAAGCGCAAAGCGCCGAAGTTTTATCCTTATTGCTATTCATTATTAATCAAAGGGCGGCGACACAAGTTTCTTATTTAAATATCTTCTCCAACGTCCTTTGTGCACAAAATTTGCTTATTACTAAGTACCTTACTTATATTTATAAGTATTTGCCTGAAACAATCATCAAAATAAAACAAGGGAACGAAGAAAAAAAAAAAAGAAAAGAAAAAAGGAAGATACTCGGAAAATTGTGTCGTTCTCATTTTGTTTTTAGATATTATTATCACTGCTATTATCTTTAGATAGCTTCCCTGGGAATAACTAATTCAGAAATAAATTTCAGAAATGTAAGTCTTTTTGTATTCTGCGTTGGAGTAAAAACAATTCTACAGTTTCATTAATTCACTGAATAACGATATTAACTATAAAAAAAAATGTTTTGTGTTTTCCCATTCATTTGGCATATGGGGCAAACACCGTCATTTCAGAATAATTACACAGCTATAAAATATATAGCTCTGGAAAGTCACGAAATGTGAACTGATTGGCCAAATGTTTTCCTTTGGGAACTTCTCCCACATTTTCAATCGCCAAAAAGGAAAATAAAAGTAATCAAAAGGAATCATGAAAAACCCTATAAATTTTGGCGCACAAAACAATAATAAGTCTGTTTATACGACAGGTGTAAATAAACATTTGAAAAATAACTATCATGTCGATAAACGGTATACCGAGCTTTTTTAGAATATCTGTCGTGAAAACTATCTTTAAAAGTGCCAACGAATTCGTTAAATACTTTATTCCTTTTTGCAAAATTTCCGTTGGCCTGTTGGTATCGCCATTATTTATTTTCATTCTGCGAAGATTGCGCAAGTTTAAGAGTTTCCGTTTTAATTCAGTAAGTTGTTCATAAGCTAGTAACTTTGCAACCTTATCGAGGAGGCAAACTTAACAAACGTTCTCGAAAAAACAAAGAAATATTGAATTCTTTTTTGAATTCTAATGTTCATAACAGGAACGAAGAACCCACTACCCAAATTGCCCTGCTCGCCACGTGTGGTTTCGTAGCTCAGCTGGTGATGGCGCCTAGCAAGCAGGTGGAAGACAAGAATCCATTAGAAGCCTGAACGTTTTAGAGGCTTCTACTCTACAATTGCTTAAATTTGAGTTAAACCTGCGAGGATCATTTCTGCACTTGAATGTCATCTCTCCCGTTGAATGAAGGGCGCTTTAGTAGCTGTGACGCCTCAATAGACAAGGCTAAACAAAAGCATACGGGATAACTCGCCTGGACTTCATTCGTTTGTTAATCCCCAGGTATGTTTTTATAAAAGGACTGTAATTATAGAACCGTTTTTCAATGGTTTACGACCTTTATTCTCTACTACAAAGAAATCTTAATTGTTTGTGACTTTATTAAAAACTTTACACTTTAATATTTTTCCTGGATTGTAATTTGACGAGATTTACACTTTTTATCTATTTTGAGATTGACTTTCAATATATCGGTTTAAGAGCCTGTCCCCCGACATATCAATCTCTTTTCTTGATGACTTTTAATCACAGATGCATGCTTTAATTCTTCCAGCACTTTTCTCAGAGATGTGGTTGGTGGAATTATATCTTGGAGCGACACGCTTTCGTTGCAAAATGAAGAGACCATCCACTTAGATCTGTCAATTTGGCTTTGCGTTTGCTTTGGCTGCTTCGCTTGTTTCTTTCTCCTTTTCTCCTTTTTCATTTGTGTACATTTTGGCAGGGATTCTTATTTTCCACCCACGTGACTTTTGTATTGACGACGATTGCTATCCGCCATGTTAGTGCCCAAGCAGATAGTTACAAATGTGCTTGTAGTAAGGTGTGAGTGAGAAAGTAGAAATGGTTCTTTGTATAGTTTTCGGCTGTAGCAGCAGAAGTGATTGGGACAAAGGGACTTGACTTTATCAAATACCATCAGTTATTAAAAATAAGTCTTCCTTCGAAGAAGAATTGACAACACAGAGACGAGAAAAGTGGATACAAGCGATAAGTCGCGGCGACGCGACATGAGAATAAAGGTAAAGATAGACCGGCACGGACTCCCCACGTGGCTTTCGTGGTCGCGGCGCGTTACCGCCTTCAAATTATATTTTTGCTCTAAAGAGCATGTCTTAAAGAGATTTTCCCTTTTTGTAAAAGATGATCGGAGGTTTTGTAAAATTTGTTTTCAGCAACGACTGATTGTGTATCAGACTCCATTGTTCCATCAATATTTGTTTGACATTTTTACTGCCGGGTGGCGCGTTGTGACGAAAGGCAATACACGTTCGTGACCTTTCGGCCTTCATGTATTATAATGGCCGATTGTCTGGAGGCAAGTTGACCCCTGACAGAGACATTTCTATGATGTTTTCTGAGTTCCTCTTGCTTTGAAGCGTTGTTTGAATTTCAAACGGCCCTCTTCAAATGTTTTTTTTTTTTTTATTGGAGGAGTTAGTTTTAAGCAATCTTATTTCTTGCCTTTAATGAAACAATATTTTACGCCTGGTGGGTAGCTCACGTCTCGAGAGAAAGCCAACAATTAGTTCATGAAGGTGTGACTCGGTGTAAAGGTTCAAGAGGAACTGCTGGAAATTGGAACAGGTTATAAGGAAAGTATGAGGAACGAAATATGGTCGATTTGCAACGATAAATATTTTGAAAGATGGACATTTTACACGTAAAATCAATAAAACTTACTTATGTCCTGTGTTTCCGTTGTAGTTTCTCGCGATTTCTGCCGTTTTAAGCATGCTTTACCATCACGAAAGCCCACGACTAAAAAAATTTCCGTCTAATTAATACCATTCTCTAATGTCTAGGTTATGTTAGTTGAGGTTGCACGGTCAGCATGCTCCAAAACCTGCGGTAGCGGGTCACAGAATCGTAAACGGAAATGTCAAGGTTACAGCCAGACTGCAAACTGCACAGGCGCAAATGTAGAGACCCGCGTGTGTAGCACATAATCATGTCTGGGCGGTAAGCAGCTAAGTCTGTCTTCTTAATATCAGTATCTATCTCATTTGCGTTCATCTCGGTGGTATTTCTTTTGAAAGCTCAGCTTAGTTTTCCGTCAGGAGAAAAAAATTGAGTTAGGCGCTAACTTATTTTTGCCTATTAAAAGTAACACACCTTATCTAAAGCCAATCGCGACTTTATAACTCACGTTTTCTTGCGCCTAGGGAAGTTGGGTGGTTTTTAACCAGATTTTCTATGGACGCCTCTTGATATTTTCCTTCGTTTGATTGGCTGTTGCGATGACTGCGATGATTTTCCTATGGAAAGCAATCGAAGGTATCATGTGCTCTTTAGTTGTAAAGTTGTTCAACTTGCAGGCAAAACTTGAAATGACTATGGCCAAGAAATTGATGTCATTTGAGATTTAGTAATGGATAGATATTTTAATATTTTTACTACTTTACACTGCAATTGGTCTAAAATTGTTGTATAAGTCATAAAAAACTGACAAATTATTTTCTTAAGATCTAGAAAAGTTTATAATATCGCCAAGTGTTCACTGTTACACCTGTTAAACGAAAGAAAGAAAAATAAGAAGTGAATAGTTGGCAGATGAGAAAGGAAATACATTTGAAAAAGTGAATTATGTTCAAAGTTGTTTTGTCTTGTAATTTTACACAAATAAAATCATACTTTTACTTGCTCAGATAGAACGGAAAGAATGATTTTAATGTATTCGTTAATTGTATATTTAGATCGGGAAGAAACAAAAACAAGTATGTTGCTTCATATAAGAACAATTACTAGGGTGTTACAAATGAAGCAAAAAAATTGGTAGAAGCATTTAGAAAGCTGTTGCCTAGGGCATGATGGTGGGATTTTTGAGAGCTTTCGGAAAATCTTCTCGGGAGATTCCGCGGAGATTCTGGTGTGGTTAGCAATCTCAGGGGAAAACTGTCGACTTGGATCGCTCCAAAAGATTTGAACATTTCTTCCTGTGTAGTTAGCTTTTACCCCTTGACTGTTTTTAAAATGTACTTGCATACGGTCACAGGTTCTCGATCTAATACCGGCGTGAGAGTGTGTAAGCAGTCATGTCATCCGTGGTTTCCCTCTGACAAAGGGCTAACGCTCTAAACGTCATTTTGGAAACTCTTTTCTGTGGCCAGTTTACATTATCAATTGAGTTGATGAAACCAAATTGCCTTTGTTAGCAGTCAGTTTGGGAGTGACTATGGGAAGACTACAGAGAGACTGACTTTTGACTACGAGGAGACTATGACTAATGACTAAGGGCAGACTATGACTAGTGACTCTGGAGAGACCATGACTACAGGGAGACTATGACTAGTGACTAGAGGGAGAGACTATGACTACAGGGAGACCATCACTAGTGACTAAAGGGAGAGACTATGACTAGTGACTCTGAAGAGACTGATTAGTGACTCTGGAGAGAATATGACTAGTGACTACAGGGAAAGACTAGTGACTATCACTAGAGACTATCACTAGTGACTATCGAGAGACTGAACAGCATAAACATGGAGACTGTGACTAGTGACTATGGAGAAACTATATACAGTATCTTGGTGGAGACTGTGACTAGTGACAATGGAGAGACTATGAACAGTATGTACGTGGAGACTGTGACTAGTGACAATGGAGAGACTATGAACATTATATACGTGGAGACTGTGACTAGTGACAATGGAGAGACTATAAAAGAAAATCGTTCCAAATGAAAAGGATTTTTGATAAGTAATTCATTTGTAACCTCCTACTGATAAATTTTCTATTCGCATACTCTTTTTTCAAAGTTTGACCCAGGGAACACACTGTCACAAGTGGTAGAGTTGATCAGCAGTGGCCCAAAACAAACAAGCATGCACTTTTGGACATCAGAACCACCACATGTCTTACTACATGGGTTCTAGATAATCATTAGGGTAAAACCTTGTACATTTCCTAGCCTTCTCAGGGCAGAAATCACCAGAAACTGCAACGGACGCACAAGGAGTGTAAAATGTTCACATTTCGCAATATTTAGCGTCGTAAATCGACCATATTTCGTTTCCCAGACTATTTCTTAATATGTATTAAGTCAGTGGTTCCTCACGTAACTCAACACCACGTAACACAACGTGAGACGCCTTCATGAATAAATATATACGTGTCGAGGATAAATCTTTCGTCTTTCTCGAGACGCAAGCTTGGGTAACCTATGCTGAAACTCCCTAATTGCAAGAATAACAACAAACTCAAGAAACCTCACCTCAGCACCCCGGGGTTGTAAGATTCTATGTGAACGCGTTTTATTTTTCGACCTCGGCTAGGCAGATTACCTCACCTACCTGGGGTCCCACACCTCCACGTAAACAGGCCCTTAGCCTTCAAATGACATATTAATCAACCCACCATACAACAGATACCAACCACGAATATTGGAGGAGGGAAGAGGCAAAAAAACAAAATAATAATAATTATAATAATAATGATAAAAATGAAGCGGATCACGAGGTGTGTCAAAGTAAAAGATTCACAGAAGGAGATAACACACAAGCACGAAGGTAAACCTGACATTTATTTTTAGAAATTCTCAGCTTCTGGTCACCTTTTTCTCCACATTGTTTTCCCTTGGAACCAACTTGACACAAGCAAATGTATCTCTTATCTGTAAACCCATTTAGACAGGTTGCATTAGGAAGACAAGGGCTGCTTGAACATGGATTCTGCAGGGATAAATTTATCTTTAGTATGATTTATATTAATAAAAACTCAGTATAACCATACCAGGGAAAATTAGAAAATGAATCTATCGTATTGTGTTCTATCCAAATATCCACACCTTTGTAGCCCAATACTGGTATCCTTCTTGGAGTTTAAGGTCAGCAGGATGTTGAGTGTGATCAGAATCACTCAGTTGACAGACCCTGAGTCCATTCTTGCTGGGTGGGCCAATGTTGACGGACACACAGGTATTTTCCATGAGGCACCTATTTTTGCAGTCGCTATAGGGCTCAATTCCCATGAACAAATATATTTGTTTGAAAACGTGCTGTTGAAGAGCATATCCTCCAATTGGCTCCTCAAACATAAGACTTCGACAATGAATACCTGCAACTGATCGGTTAAAGATATGGTGACAAGCATGTTGGACGTTTTTTTTGCGTCAAATAGGAAAACAAATTTGTGTCCCCTAGATATATTTTTTCTTTTATTGTGCTTTAGCAGCTGGAATAAGTCCTACTTCTGCTAGGAATTTAGTCAATTTTCCAAATTTCCGTTCAAAGTTACATCAGCGATGGTCTAATTGCAGGTTAGTCCTTGCGCAAATGAGCTACCGTCTTAAAAGAGAAGGCGCTAGCTCAAATATTGCCGAGAACAGTTTAATCAATTTATGGTTATCGAACAATGATACTTTCATTACATGGGAAGATAGTCGTGAGGTAAATTCGAGCGCTCTAACACAGCCATGAGCCGTGTATTTTTGGATACGAAACCGGGCAAAGTCAAGAAATATTCGGTCTACTAACTTACCTCACTTGTTCGAGCCGTCTTGGGGATTATTGGCCCTCGGATGTTTCTGTACGGACCGAGCGCTGTGACCTTAGGCCAATATTCCCTAGTATGGCCCCCTCGCTCGGTTGGTAAGAAATCAGTATTCAAGGCTTTTGGCTGACATTTAATCTTACGAGATTTTGTAAGCAAAGCTTCTTACCTCGCAAAGTTGAAACAAAATTAAGATCTAGAGCTGTGATGAATTTTTTATATCATAAGGCTGTATTTTTACAAATTAATTCTGAGGGAGAGAGAGACTAAGGGAGTCATAGGTACTAGTAAGTCTGCACAATAATGTTATTTCGAAACGGTATAAATTCACTTCTCGAAGTATTTCTGAAAGTAAGTAAAAAGTTCTGTATAAATTCTCGCGTGTCCTTTGAATTGATCACATTATGCAATAATTGTGACGAAAAAATCAGCTTTTATTAAGAGTGTTTTAGGAATTAAATTTATTATTTCTGCGTGTTTTGGAATAGCTTTGAATTTTAAACAATGCTGTATGAAAATTTTCTTTCATAACTTATTTATGCTTTTTTCACTAATCAGAAACAAGATATTTTGTAGAAGAGAACTTAGTGTAAAAGACAAGGATTCTCCCCTTAAGGTGGGCAATTTTAGGAATTTTAGAATTAGTTTCCTCTGCAGTTGCAGCCACAACAAAATTCCAAGCCCCAATTTCTGCTTAGCTTCCCATCCTATGTATATTGTACTGTACTCAGTTTCCAGTGTCTCCTGCAGATTTAGCAATCCTTAATCTAATAGATCCAGCAATGGTAGATTATCTTTCAAAATTCCCCAAATGTTTTGTGCCAGACATATTCTTTGGCCAGCGACGAGAACGTGGTGTCAAATCAAAATTTACTCTAAGGAGAGAGGGGAGGTTGATCTCTAAATGAGGGTAATCCCTCACTCAACTCTGCTATGTCTCAAGCTTCTTCAGTTCGAGTGAAACAGAGATTCAACCATCTTTTTCCACACTCTCGACTGAACCTAATGTCATAGAGCAGTTTTTCTCTTTCTAAGTCAAACAAAGAACTTTTTAGCCTATGACATCGATATATCTTTGTTTACCAAAAGTGTATCCACGAAATACACGGTTAGCGTAATTTTCTTAACCAGGACACTCTACCAAAGTGCGTGATATGAATTCTCGTAAAAAGGTATGGTAGAAAACCAAACGTAGGTCACGCAGTTATCTAGGACTGTATGTAAATGTAAATATTATCACTTAAATTAAAAACTTTTGCAACATATTTAATTCACACAGAAAAGGGCCGTTTTACTTTCTATAGGTACTATTAATAGTGGTAATAGGACCGAGTGGAGTCCAATTCGCTCTGTAATCATACGAGTAATCGACAAAATCTCGATATGATATAACATCGGTAGGCAGTACTCAATTATTTGAATGAATTCTCATCAGAAATTGGGAAACGTCGCCAAAAAGTATCATCAAAATACACCGATTTATGTCCTGCAGACGACTGAGTTTGTTGCATGGTACTCGTCTTGAAAGTATCTAAACTTGTTTAGCTCCCTCTAAAATCGTGGTTAATTATTTTTAATGAACTTGAAAAAGCTGTACTTGCAAACAAAAAATCACATTTCGTCGTGTTCACGTTTCTTAGAAATGGCCACATTAGTTTTTAATTCAGAGCCCTATCACCTTATGTGATGGAATAAGCTTTCAAAATGCACAAAATGCATTATTTTTCGGCCTGGTTCGCCAATTGGACTTAGCTTCCGTTAATTCCGGATTCCCCTGACTTCAGGAGTAGATTTTAATCAAAAGCTTGACAAAGCAATGTTAAAGTTAACTCACCTTGATTCGCAACTGTCACGGTGTAGAACCAGCCTCCGAACAAAAATAGGAAAGATCTGAAAGAAAAAACTGAGCAGCAAGGGCGCTTCATCTTCAGAGTCTTGTCAACCATCAGTTGCCTATCTCTCCCACGGTCAAGATCTTTCTGTGCTATGCGCCGAAGTTTTATCCCTGTTGCTATTCATTATTAATCATAGGGTGACGAGTTAAAAGGAAATTTATTCTCCAATAACTTTATTTAGTTTCCTATTTACATATTTCCGCCAACGTCCTTTGTGCGTAAAGTCTATTTATTAATAAGTGTCTTACTTATATTTTTAGTATTTGCAAAGATAAATTTCCCTAAAAAATCATCAAAACGAAAGAAGAGAACAACGAAAAATAAAAAAAAGAAGAAAGGAAAGTGAGATACTCTGCAAATTATGTCGTTCTCATTTTTTTTTCAGATATTATTATTACTGCTAATAAGCTTAGATAGCTCTCCTGGGAATACGTCAATTGTTACCTTTCAGAACTAATTTTCACAAATGTAAGTCTTTTGTATTCTGTATTGGAGTAAAAACAATTCTACAGTTTTATTAATTGACTGAATAATAATATCAACAAAAACAAAGCCTGTTTTGTGTTTTCCCATTCATTTGGCATTGATAGCTCTGGAAAGTCGCGAAATGTGAACCACTTTGCTAAATCTTGTCCTTTGGGAACTCCTTACACATTTTCAATCGCCAAAATGCAAAATAAAAGTAACCAAAAGGAATCATGAAAACCCTATCAATTTTAGCGCACGAGAATATAGTAAGTCTGTTTATATGACAGGTGCGAATAATGATTTAAAAAAATATTATCATGACGGAAGACGCTATTCCGAGCTTTTAGAATATCCGTCGCGAACACTATCTTTAGCAAGTGCCAACAAATTCATTAAATAAATTATTCTTTCTTCTGAAATTTCTGTCGGCCTGATGCTGTCGCCATTATTTATTTTCATTCTGCGAAGATTGCGCAAGTTTAAGACTTTCCGTATGGATTCAGTAAGTTGTTCCTCAGCGAGTAACTTTGCAACCTTATGAAGGAGGCAAACTTAACAAACGTTATGGAAAAAACAAAGAAATATTGAATTCTGTTTTGAACCAAGTGTTCATTGCAGGAACGAAGAACCCGTTACCCGAATTGCCCTGCTCGCAACGAGTGGTTTCGTAGCTCAGCTGGCAATGGTACCCAGCAAGCAGCTGGAAGCCACGAATTCATTAGAAGACTGAACGTTTCAGAGGCTTCTTCTCTTAAATTTGAGTTGAACCTGCGTGGATCATTTCTACACTTGAATGTCAGCTATCCCTTTGATTGAAAAGCGCTTCAGTTGCTGTGACGCCTCAATAGACAAAGCTAAACAAAAGCGTAAAGAATAACTCCCCTTGAGCTCACTTGTTTGGTAATCAATAGGTATGTTTTAAAAGAAAAACTGTAATTGAAGAGCCGAGTTTCAATGGTTTACGACCTTTAGTCTCTACTACAAGGAAGTATTTATTAGGGGATGAAATTTGTGTCAAGAGAGAGTCACTTTTGATGTTGATCGCGACGTTTCGACCGCAATACTGCTAGTCTTCATCAGGCGATGAGGTCGATTGTTTTCGTGTCGCTATTTGTTGCATGTTGGTACGCTGTTATAGGTTCATTTCGATCCTCATGATTATTCCGGTTGTTAGCTGGTTTTCCCTCATAGGTCCTCATAAATCAGCTCTTTTGTTGTTTGATCCCTACCATCCACTTGGATCTGTCAATTTAGCTTTGTGTTTGCTTTGGCCGCTTCGCTTGTTTCTTTCTATTTTTCTTCTTTTTCATTTAGATACGTTTTTGGTAAGGATTCTTAGTTTTCATTTGGCTCTCACAACCATGTCTTAAAGAGATTTTCCCTTTTTGTAAAAGATGGTCGGAGGTTTTGTAAAATTTGTTTCCAGCAACGACTGATTGTGTATCATCCTCCATTGTTCCATCAACATTTGTTTTAAATTTTTAACTGCCAGGTGGTACGTTGTGACGAAAGGCAATAAACGTTCGTGACCTTTCGGCTTTTGTGTATGTTTAAGGACGATTGTCAGAAGGCAAAGTTGACCCCAGACAGAGACCTTTCTGTGATGTTTTCTGACTACCCTCTTAATTTGAGGCGTTGTTTGAATTTCAAAAGCCCTCTTCAAATGTTTTTTTTGGAAGAGTTAGCTCTAGCAATCGTATTACTTGCCTTTAATGAAACCATATTTTACTCCTGGTGGGTGGCACCACAGGCGGCCCAAGCTCACGCATCGAGAAAAAGCCAACGATCTATTCATGAAGGCGTCACGCGTTGTGTGACTCGGTATTAAGTTACGAGAGGAACCGTTGTAAATTTGAATATCCTGTAAGGAATGGTATGGGGAACAAAATATGGTCGATTTACAACGATAAATATTTCGAAATATGAACATTTTATTCGTAAAATCAATAAAACGCACTCACATCCTATGTGTCCATTGTAGTTTCTGGCGATTTCTGCCGTTTTAAGCTTTCTTTATCATCATTGTTATTCCTGTCAAAAAACGAAGTCAAGGCTGCACACTCCGATTTCGAAAATTCCCCAATCGGCATTTTTTCAGCCATACTTAAGATTAAAGATCATTTGATCCCTGAGACATGTCTCAATACCAAAACTCCCCGCACATTTCGCCGGAAACGAGCGTTTTCTACCTGCATTTCCAAGTTCGCTTCTCTCTGGCAATACTTTGATCAAGCAG